TACATATTTATTACTATAGATTGAGATGATTGTACTACTTAAATTTGTAGACTAAATATAAATTTGTAGACTTCTAAGAGTTGTTCCATACCTCCCCCCCCCAAAATAAATAATTAAATAAAATGGAAATTAAAACCACTATTCCAAATTGCTGTAGTTGAAAGATTAAGAGGTTACACTTGGAGTTCATTTTCTGACAGTTTTAATTTATTCAGAAATCTGAAAGAAAATATTTCTAGAAAATCGCCAAATTATAATTGTTACATTCAAAAAAGCTTTCAATGAGAAATATGTTTAAACTTTGATAATAAGCTCAGTCTAAAGTAAAGAATAAAATATCTCTTAGTGAAGTTTTCCTTAGCTGTTTTAATATTACCAAACTAAAAAAGAACTAAAGGAAAAACTAAAAAGGAAGAAAATAAAATTCAAGTGTTTTTTAATTAAAAAGTTAATAGTTTTAATAATTACATAATTATATTTAATCTCAGCCATATTACCTTAAAATAGCACATGAGAAACTTCCCAATGATATTTTTCATTTTCACATACACATACCAAAGTTAAATAAGTAAATAAATAATAAACTGCAATTTAAGATTTATCATCGAAATGTTATAGCTAATCAATCAGAGAGTAGAAAGTTTGTTTTCAACCTAATAAATTAAACAAATAAAATAGTGATAAATATACAAACAGACATATTTGAGACATTAAAATTCAGATCTGAATACTCCATTTATTATAATTAAAATTATAAATACATTTTATAGTAATAAAAATCAAAACTCCTTTTTGATTATGTCCGCATTTATCAGCGTGTGCTTTTATCAGCATGGGCTTATATCTATGTGGGCTTTTATCAATGTGTGCTTTTATCAGTGTGGGCTTTTATCAATGTGCACTTTCATTGCTGTGGGCATTTGTCGCGAGGGCAATTATCATAGTGGGCCTATTTTAGTGGTCGCGTGCGCTTTCATTCAGTGGGCTTTTGTCTGGAAACCGAATGAAATATATATATTATAAAACACAGAAAAACATTAATCTATTTTACATTTCACAGAATCTTCAATTAAAAATGTGATCCTTTTTATAATGCTTTTAAAAAAATGGTCCTTTTTATACTGCTTTATCAATCTCAAATTATTTGATAACTGCTCAATGAGAAAGGCTGGCTAGTATTGGAAGCACACTAGAAAAGCATTTTTATCTATTTTTTATTTCATTTCATTTAAAAAATATTTTGAAAATTGTTTCTTAAATTCCAGTTTTAGAACTTTCAAATATTGGTAATATTCAAATACATTTTCATCATTTTCACACAGTTTATGAATTTGGAAAACGGCTGAGTTTACCCTGTCATGAGTTTCTATTATGCATACCTGAACTACACTGGCATAAATAAATTCTTTTATGGATACCTTGATTCAACGCATTCTGAACTTTGCCACAAATGTAGAAATTACATTTTGGGAGTTTATTAAATTAAAGTGAGAATATTTTGAAGTTCAAAATTTAGGATGCTATACTAATAATTTTTTAAATATCTTTTTTACAAATAAATTATTTTATTGTTATTTTGGTGGAGACAGTATGCTCCAAATATCATTTTTATTTTATTTTTAATAATAAAAAAATCAAAATGCAGTATTTATTTTTAAACAAAATTATAAATTAGTAACTCTCTAAATTATTTCGATGAAGTAGCCTTATATTTTTCTCTGAAGCATGAATATTTCTTAAAACATCTTTTTCTTTTTTGATCTTATAAAAGACCATGCAATTTTCAACGAAATTCATTTTGGTGAATAACATATCCTTTAAAATGTCCACTTTAAGCTCTGTCTTATCTGCTAGTCCAAAAACTGTTTCGTAATGCTAAATACTCGCTTAGTTGCAGTATTAGTGCCAGGTAGACAAAAGCAAAGCTCTGGCAGTTTTAAAACATTTGAACAAGGAATCTTGTTCTTATTAAAATATGCAGTTATTTCCATCCACCTCTGAACTGGGCACATCTTATTTTTTTACCATTCCAATATTTTATCTTCAGCGATGTATTAATTAAAATAAACATATTCCTCATATACATCAGTTTCCAATAATTTATGACTTACTACTTTTATTAATTAACAAAAAGGCTATTTGAACTTGACTTCAAGATCCGATTTCGATGCGGTTTACTGCATTCAAGATCCAGCTGTACATTTCCATCTTCTGAAATACTTATTTTTGTCTTTTCTCCAATTAAGTAAGAACAGTCTGATAAATGAAACAATAGCATCTCGAAGTTCAATAACTTTATATTGTGACATATCTCCATTCTCTTCAAGTTTTTTTTAACATATATTGGAATAAAGTTATCCTCTATCTTGCTCAATAGTGAAGTCTTCAGAGCATCCACTGAAGCAATTACATCAAATACAGACAAAGTTTGATTTTCATTTTTTGTAATAATTACTTTATGAAATATTGAAGCCTGAGTGATAATAAAATGTAGCCAAGCTTCTGCTGCTGGATTTAAATGGAGACTGAAAATAAGCCTTCGGTGGTAAAAACACTGAGTACTCTTTCAATGGCAGGAAGTAATACTAACCATCTTGTTTGTGAATATCCTAGTATCATTGATAAATCGGCTTCTATGAAGTTTGCAGAAATTTTTCAATGTTTCTACTCTAACAGTATAAGATTTAAAGTATATTTTAAAAATAATCATTTCTATATAAACTAGTAAAACATTAGCTAACATTCTTAGAGTGTTATGGATAATATGCACTGCACATTTGATTCCAATTAAACCATGGTTAAAGTTTTGTTTCAGTTTAATAAAAGCATTATTTTCTTCAGTCTATCAGCTCCTTATAATAGTTGCTGACAGTTAAATAGTTGCTGACAATATTGGATGTTTCACCAAAAAAAGATTTAAATTCTAACTCCGTAACTCCATAACTCCAATCTATAAATCTAACAAGTATTGGAAAAAGTTCTATTTCCTTGTGATTGGACGCATCAGTTAAGACTGAAAAAAATGAACATTTTCCCAAATCAACGTGCAATGCTCTTAAAACATAAGGCACGAAAACATTTAGTATTATTGCTAGTATTTAAATAAACATATGCATTTAGCACTTAAATAAATATACACACTTAAACTTTTATATTCTCACACTTCTGTTTTTCCAGGTTACTCAGGACAAATGCTATAAATTTGGGACAAAGAAAAAATAAAAACGAGTTGTAAAAAATTGGGGCAGGAATTGAAAATGCAGGACTGTCCCGGGAAATTTGGAATGTATGGTCACCTTAATTAAATTCAAGTTGCCCCCTCCGAGAAGGTTATAGAAAAGAGCCTCTGAGACCTAGAGACCTCTGAGGTTACTGAATTTATTAACAAAAATTATGTTGGATAAGTTACATCAGACTTTGAATTTATGAAGTCTGCTTTTAAAGCATTATCTTCATCTTCCAATAATTCTAGTACCGAGTTAAAAAACTTGGAAAACTACTCAAACATGCTTCCTTTAATTAAGACAATCACTAACACGCCGAACAAATACCAATTTAGAAGCCAAACAACAAAAATCAGTGCTATATTTACAAAATTTTCACAGGACTAGTTTCGATGGTTTTACCGAACCACCATCTTCAGCTGCAAAACCGGAAATGAACCAGATAGGAAATAATTATTAGATTACTAATTTGGCGGTTAAAAATTGCGGTTTTGCAGCTGAAGATGGTGGTTCGGTAAAACCATCGAAACTAGTCCTGTGAAAATTTTGTAAATATAGCGCTGATTTTTGTTGTTTGGCTTCTGAATTGGTATGCTTCCTTTAGTAGTAATCTTCTGTATTACGAAGCAGATGACAGAAGTTTTCATCATTTTCAATACAGAGCTTTCTAAACAAATCATTTTCAATACAGAGTTTTCTGAACAAGCTGTTATTCAAAGAAGTATTTCTAAGATGAAAAAAAGTGAGTTATGTAAATGTTCACTCAGATTTTTCACTATAGATGTTTCCAATGTGCAAAGCATATATTTTGTACCTCTGCTTTCAAAGGTACCAAGAAACTATAGTAGCATCCAACTATCACTGCAGCACCATCACCAAAAACTGACAATATCTTATGAGGAGAATTAAAAAAAAGAAGTTATGAAATAAATATTTTTCTTTAATCTGTAAATTTTGAGCCAAAATCTTGGAAGATTTATTGATTTTTTATAAAATGTATATAAGCAAGAAATAAATTTCAGCCCCTGGCAAACTGACTCATCAAAATGTATTGAAAAATGAGACATTTTTACAAAATTAACATAGAGTTTTCAACGCCCTCATTGATTCTTCTTAGGACTGTGTTATTATTCAAAGGGATTTTTTTCACAGTTGGTGACTTAGGTAGCACAGTCCACAATACCTCCTTTATGGCTGATAGAATTAGTTCTTTCCCAGTACTATATGGTTTCCCTGATCTTGCTAGCAGTAAAGCAATATTATACGAAGAATGCAACCCAGCATCATCTTGTTTAAATACTGTTGAAAAAGAGATTCACTAATGTGAGCAGTTTTACAAACTTCTTCTTGCATTTGCATTTGAGTTCTTGCCTCAAATGAAAATGTCACTTCTTTTTATGCAAAGGATTCACAGCTTCATTTGAGAAAGGTTTTTGACATACTAGGCATACTGGTAATGTATTATTGAACCCTCTGGGCAGAGTAAGATTTTAGATCTGTCATGAAGACCTGCATTTAAACAGCTTTTATTAGATAAATTCGTATAATTCCTTATTTTAGTCTATATTTTCATAAACTTACCTTCATTAAAATGACATTTAAATTATTAAAGAAAATAAGAAATAAATAGAAAAATGAGGTGAAAGAGAGACAGAGAAATTTATTTGATTGAAATCTGCTATTAAAAACAATTCTGAATGTTTTCTTAATCATTTTAAACATTCAAATGCAGATAAAAGTTGTTGAACTCATATCACTTATTGAAATAAAAATTACCTTGACAAATTATTGTTTGATACATCTAATCTTTCGAGAGCTTGCAAGGAACAAATGTTATCAGGTAGTTGAGAAATTTTATTATCTCTCAAATCCAAAATCTTGATGCCAATGACGCTTTCTACAAAATCATCCCCAAGAACATCAATATTATTAAAACCTGCATGAATTTCCTGAAAAAATTACATGAGATCATAAATGTGTATTATTGATTAACAGCATTTTAACATTTAAAAATTAAGGAGAAGTTAAAAACTTAAGAAATGTTCATAATACAAATTTATGAATTTACTACTCATTCAGGAACAAACATACTGAGATTAGCCCAGCTGGAAAGAATTTTTAAGGAAAACATGAAAACAATATTTAGTGCCACTAACTATCACTTTAAGCTTTCAGAGTTATTTTCCAGATGCTGTAATGAAAAATATTTCATGAGTCACTTTCTTACCTCTTTTTTGGGGGGGGGAGGAAGTGGCGATCATTGATTGGTGTGGGAGTAATTTTATCTCGAGCTCGGATTTTTTTAGTATAAAATATAAAAAGTATTATAATTTTTTCCAAAACATTCTGTATGTAATAAAATATGAATTTATACACAAATATTTATTTTTAGGCTATAAAGGTGTTTCAAAGAATAAACATAAAAATCTCAGGAAAAAAGAAAATGAAAGTTAGTTGATATAACTGTACCAGTTAATATAAAATTACTTATTATTTCCATTCCAAATGCCAAAATGTAACCGCTTCTGATAATATAAACTATGGTAGAATCACTCTAGGAATGAGGATGCCCTCTGGTGAGTAGACAGAGAAAGACTTCAGTAAAGGACAGGTGATGAGCTTGTTAGGTTGTATCAAACACCTGCTTTGTAAAATCTTAAAATTATAAGTTATGGCTGTGTATAACTTAAACCTCAAAATTATTATTACATGATAAAGAACTCATTTATGACACCATTCAACATGAACCCCTAAAAAATAATTTTTTTTATAGATATGAAACTTTATTTGCAACTTTTTGTTTGATAGGCACAAAACTTTTGTTTTGGGTGCATTTTAAGACATTTAACTTGGGGTACATACTTAACACTTGTGAGTGCTGATGTTTTACAAATGCAAGTGTGTGCTGCAGGATTAAAGTAAAAGTTTACAGAGCATATCATGGCAATCTTAAAACCAAACAATTATATAAAATTTTCAAAAATTAGAAATAACATTTATTAAAAAAAGAAGGGAAGCATGTTCAAAGCAAAATTAAAAAGAAAAAATATTCATTTAAAACAGGATCATATCCATAAAAAATAAATAAATAAATAAAAGGGGGGAAAAAGAAAGAAATAAATTGAGAATATATTTTCTTCATGAAAATTATTTGAAAGCTCTAATAACAATAAAAAATCTGAAACATTTTTGTGTAACAGATTAAAAAAAATTGCATTTTTATATTACAGTATTTAATACTTACTTTTAACAACACACAATTACATAGAGGAGGAAAAGCAGCAATATTATTATGCTGAATATAAAGCTGTTCCAAATGTCGAAGCATTTCAATTGATTCTGGTAATGATTTAAGCTTATTCTTAGAAACATCAAGGAGCTTCAGAGCTTTTTTTTTAAAAAAAAAAAAAAAAAAAAATAGAAGACATGTACTCATTACTACATTTCACTAGTAAATACACAGAGCATTTCAAAAACACTGTAAACTGAATATTTCTAAAGCCTGAGAAATACGATCATTACGAGATCCATGGCTTCAATTTAAGAAATGAATTAAATAAGTTTTTAGACTACAATAATTGTTGGTTACATGATACTTTTTAGTAAAATTACAAAAATTATAATTTTCAAATAAGTGCTTCATGATGAATATATTATTACATATCCTAGTAAAATTTATATTATCAAGATGTTGTTCCTTATCCTCCTAAAATTTCTTTAAAAAACGTAACTTTGTAATAGAAAAATAAACAAAAGGTCAAAATAACAACTTTAACCATTTTTCAACTATAGTGCTAATTTCAATGGAAATTACTATTCTTCTAAATAGAAAAATAAACAAAAGGGTAAAAAAAAAAAAGACTTTAACCATTTTTCAACTGTAGTGCTAATTTCTACGGAAATTACCATTTGCTATAGGCAGTGCGGAATACCTTAACAAATTTAATGCAAAGTTGTCATCCCCAATTGCAGAAAATTTGCTTTGCTTGAAATACAAATCACATTAAACAAATTAAATCATTTTTCACAGTGTAAAAAGTTTCAAATATTAGCAAAATATGCATTGTTAAAAAAATTTGTGGTGAATATATTTTCTGAACTTAAAGTATAGTTACAACAGTGTTTATGATATCTCAATACTAGTGCAAGAGACATTTCCGTATTTCAAAATCTAATTTGTTGCATAAATAAGGAGCTCCTATCACATCTTCAAACAGAATTAATTAACTAATCTGCAAAATGATGATATGCTAAAAAATGAAGTTTAAAGAAACAGATTTAACTCAATTCTATACATATCCCCTGTAAGATAAATATGGCCAATTAAAATCATATGCATGGCGATTTATATCTGCATTTTGAAATACTTACCATTGTGAAAGGACATTTTCAAAAATGAAGTACATAAAGTTGCAATACAGATTCTTATTAATGATGATAATTCACAAACTATGTTAATAATAGGAAGTACTGTTAACTTTGAACTCCAGTATTAATGCTATTAATATCTGTGTGTGTGTCTTTCTGTTTGTAATATCATCTCCTCCGGAATGGCGGGGAGTTGAGTTTTGAGAGAGGTACCCCCCCCCCCCCCCAGATTCCAAAAATTCGCAGGAAGCCATTTTGACCATTTTTATCTTCATATGACTTTAATCAGCTGTATAATTAAAAACTATGAAAATAATAATTTTTTTCACGTTGCAAGTTGCTTTATTTGCTGAATTTCATTGCTGTTCAGCAAGCTGTGTTGAAGCACATACAAGGTGGAATTTTAAAACTGCTATCCATCTTTTCTAAACAGAGTAAAATATTTTTTAGAATAGAACTTATAAATTTTGATTCAACTGCAACCTGCTCATTAAGCAGGTTTTCCCACTATTGATGAAATATTATCTGAGAAAAAGAAATTACATTCATCACACTAGCACAAAATTTAATTTGTTCTATAATACATTGATTAATAAATGGAAGTATTTTATTCTTTTTTGTATCAGCAAAATGTGTATAAACATTATGTAAAAGTATCACTTTTTAACGGGCCAAACCCTAAAATTTCTTAAGATCTGGCACTTTCTAAGAAAAGCTTGCTGATCCTTGGCCTAAAGCAGTATTTGCATACAGTCCCTAAATTTTTTAATTAATGATATTTTGTATGAATTTAATTTTTTTGAGGAAGAAGGCAGGAAGTCAAGCATGGGAAACTGTTCTCTCACTGACACTTTTTTTACAAAAGGGTCATGTAAAAATTTAAGTTTTGTATATTTTTACTAAGACATGATTAAAATTATAATAGTCTAAAAGATTACTTTATTTCATTCTTTTCCTAAATTTGAAATAAAGATTTATTATCCAACATTCAAGAGCTATTTCATAAATCCATTTTTTTAAATACCTTACAAAGTATATATATATTTATACAGCAAAGCACATAAAAAATACTATATTTTAGAAAAACTTTTTTAACATGCTGAAAGTATTTAATAACTGAAGTAAAATAATTTTTTTTTTCAAATACATACTTTACCTTTCATTTTGTAAGTACTCAAATAAGCGTCACCTGAATATGGATGACACAGCCTGATCAGAATTTTTGCCGTCATCCAAATAAAAATATATTTATTTCACTATGGCAGAAATCTAGCTCAATTTTTGTTTTGACATGCTCTGTCTTTATAAAATAATACAAATTAAACTTAGTAAATGAAGTACATAATTAAAAAACTGAATCTTGAAATTCATTTTCTCAACATAATGAGATGTTGAGTAACAGTTCAAAATTTAACCATGATTAAACAGTTCAGTTAGTAAAAAATGGAAGCTATGAGCACAAAGCAGCCTTTATATACCAGGTATGAAATGCTTGAAACATCCAGGATTTATTAGAAGTAGATTTATATATGTCTAGGATAATCAAAATGATTTGGCAGTTGGTTTTGAGAAAGCATAGCATGTAAACATCTTGAAAATTCAGGAAAATTTTGCTGAATATCACATTGAAAAACAACCAAATTTTTTCTTAATGCATTTAGGCATCAATAAAACTAATCTTTCCAAAGTTTTGAATTAAATTGTACAATGATTTCTTTAGACTGGAATGATGAAAGCGCTAAGATTTAAGCTTTGGAATTTAATATCATTTTGATTTTTTGTGGGATCTGAGAATTCGAATGTCCAATTTCCTAGGAAAATAAAATGTAATTGACAATTTAATTCACATCCAATGAATTAATTTACTTATTAGGTTATCTGCAAAGTTCTGCAATTTTTTAATGATAAATACATATGATGCAATCCAGAAACAGAAGAAAATTTCATTGAATCACATAAGCGTCATACTGTTTATGACTTTTTGTCATTTTTCCGGCACCTAGAAAATTCTTCCTTTAAAAGTCATTAGGTCTATTCATAAAAAAGTTATCAAAGTGCTGCTTGACAGTCTTCAAAGAAGTAACTCCAGACCCTAAAAAGAATTTGAAGTGACCTGAAAAAATGTAAATTCGAGAGAATGAGGTCTGGTGAATATGGAGCATGGTCACACAAACATCAAAGCTACAAGTGACATTTATCAAAATTATGGGGCCAAGCACTGTTACACTGGAAGACAACACCTCAATGATTGGTCAGTTCTGAGTGCTTCAATTTTTTCTTTTAAACTGTCATTTGGGAGCAGCATTTTCCAAATTTATTGTCTGATTTAGTGGCAACAATTTATAATACACAATTCTTTTGTAGAAATAATACATTTTAAGATGCAGCCTCATTCATGATATTACTACAGCAGGACTCCATGATATTTTTCTTGTAACATTATTGTATAGTATTCACTTCTCATCTCCAAAAATAAGCCTTTAAAAAAAAAAAAAAAAAAGAGCCTTTTATTTCATTTTAACAAAGAATCACATTGCCAAAGTTCAAGCAAGCACATTCTCTTCTGTTAACGTATGGGTTATTTTACAGATCATAGTAGCAAACATACTCAGTATTCTTCAAATGATCATATATTGTCCTTGTCAGAAGATTTAGTCTATGTGATAATTCCTCAATTACATAAAAAAGATTTTCAGAAATAGCTTCTCTTAATAGGTCATTGTTTAAAGAGGATGGTAATTCAGAATGAGCATCACCTTCAAAGTTCAAATTTCCATGCTTTAAAGTTCACACAGCACCTTCCAAACTGTGTGTGTCATTAGAAGCAGCACTTTGTCTACATACCGAGCAAATTTTATGAACAGTCTGACTAGCACATTATTGTATTCTAAAGTAAAAGAGCCTGACATGACAATAAGGAACTTTTGGGTTCTTTATTTTTAACACTGCAATGAAACAAAATTATGTCATATGGAAGATTGAATCTTTGGAAAGAGCCCAAAACAAAGCTCTTCGAATTATCACAGGAACGGTGAAAACTACCCCAATTCCAGCTAGACAAAGCTAAACTTCCAACCCATCAATTGCGACTGAAATCAAGAAACAAGCAGTTGGTATATTCATTAAAACGAAAGCATTGCATAGAGTGCATTAGATGAACAAATGCAAACCAAGTGAAGACCCATATGCCTAGACAAGTCACGATTGCATGGCACATCATTTTAGTAAAACTGGCATCTTTCTGTCTAGTATATGACAAATTTGCAATTTGGGCATCATGAATACAGAGCTTCTTCTTATATGCCTAGAACTAGATAAAGAGTCTCAGAAATGTGGTGAGATAAGTGAACTATATTAGAATGCCAGAGTTCTCATAAACTCCTTGTAAAGAACTACATCTCTTATGTTCCTTTCCTAGTTGTTTAAAATTTTAACTTTTTACTTTTGTTCCCATGTTCATTTACTCTGATTCTTACTTTATAAATGTTTGCTCTTTTTTACTATTTATCATTGTTTATGTGTGATGAGCTGTTTTATATGTTGGATTGATATTTAAAATACAGCCATATGTAATAACATATTTAATGTTAAATTTGATCCCAATATGCTAGTTGACATGTTAACTGCAAGGGAAAGAAAAAACAAAAATCTGGAAAGATCTGGAAGCTAATTTAAAAAATATTTTTCCTTTTTCAAAAAATAATTTCATCACAGACCATGCTCTCTATTTTATTCATTCCAGATTATAAATTAAAAATAAAGAAAAATCACTGGACCTAATTTTCAGAATTAGTTCTTTAATCTTCACTAAACCAGAAAGGTTTTTTTTTTATTACTGTACTCATAAAGGCCATTCTTCAATTATAAAAAAAAGACTAACAATTACAAAAAGGAGGCAGGAAATAAATCAGAAGAAAATGCTTGATTTCTGTCTCAAAAAGGTATGCTCAGTTGTATCTTAGCAACAGTTTCAAATTTGTATATTATACAAATAATTTTCTTTAAAATAAAGCTAAAGAAAAGTGAAATATACACTAATGTATAACCAAATAAAAATGTAAAATTCACATTGATTTACTACAAGTGTTTCTTTCTATTCAAAATCTGTTTCATTATTTTAAAAATTATGTAAATAAAGACTTGTGGTTTTTGGAAAATCTAGCTGCCGAATCTGAACTTTCATGAATCTTAATATGTAGCTCTTACTGACGTGAAGTTTAGCCACCCTGTTACGTTATATTCCAGAATATGCATCCCAATTTTTGTAATCTCATATATAGACTCTGAGTGCTACATATAATAATGTTTGAAATTTTTTAATAATATCCATAATAGTTAAAACTTTACAAGCTAAATATAGGTTAAGGCACTTACGTATTATCCTGTTGATTCAAAAACTGTAACCAAACAGGAATTCATCCTCAGTTATGGATAAGTGGGACATAACAACACATTCATAACATCTGCGCTTTTGTCTGGTATATGCTCGACTGAATAAGTCACCTTTTGTTTTTATAAACAAGTATATAAATTAACTGCTATTGTTGTATTTTTTCCTTCCATTTTGAAAAAAAAAAAAAAAAACCATGAGGGATCTGTTTTCTACAGAATAACAAGCAGTGGATTTATTTCAAAGTTATGCAATCCTGCTATCAAAAAAACAGTGGATTAACAGGAACAATATGTTCAGCATAATTTAGTCAACAAAACAGTAGAACATATTCAGAGAATAATAAAACAATAATGAAATAATTACCTGCATGAAATTTATACTCACAGCACAAAGAGCTTTTAATAAAATGGGGGGCTAGAGGGGATAATAAAATAGTAGAAATCTATGAAAGCTTTTTTATAAAATTCAAAAATAAAACAGGTTGAGTACTGATTGTTTATTAAATAAATAAATTATGTTTCTTCAGAATTCTGTAGAAACAATAGGTATTACTCTGACAGAACCTCTACCAAATTTCATGATTTGATGATAGACAACTTTTATGGTTGACAGGATAATATGTAAGTACCAAGATTAATAACATTCATATTATAATTATTGAAATGTCAATACTATTGCTCTGCATTAGGCCAAAAGAAAAAAAAAATTACCAGTTAAGTCACCAATTTCAACAGGCAAAGTTGTTAACTCATTGTTTGAAATATTTAAATTAGAAACTCTTGACAAGAAACCAATACAATGAGAAAGCCTTTTTAAATTATTGTTGGACAAATCCTAAAAAAAGCATAAAAAATAGATAGCATAAAAGTAGGAAAAATATGAATAATATAATTTAACATAATGAAATTATGCAGACTTAATTAATTATGAAATTATGTAGACTTTAGACTTTAAACCTGAAAGAAAGATTAAAAATCTTTGCAAAATTTTCTACAAATTCTGAATTACTGACACACAAAAATATATGAATTCAATGACATGGAAAGGAAACAAACTTGCAAATCTTATTATAGGCATTAAAAAAGATTGGGAATTCAAGAAGCAGTTACCTATAGTTCACTTTCTGAATATATTTAATGTCAGTGCATTCATAAATGACTAAAAGTGGTTACATTTAATTATCCTATGTTTTCTAAGGCACAAAGAATTCAGATAACCTTTATTACCAGACAAAACAGCATTTCTGGTTATGGATAAAAATTACATCATAATGTCCTCATGCATTAAGAAATATGAGAAAGAACCCAACGAATATCTTACTGCCTAATGAGCTCTTCTCAGATCAGAAGATTGCAAAGCAACAACATGTCTCGCTGTTCAATATATTTTAGCTTGATCTGAAATGTTTTATTTGCTTCTGAATAAATTATTCTTTTTCAATACTTCTTTCCAGTACCTGTTTTTGATAATTGCTTCAAATCATTAAACTAAGCATTTTGTTATGATTTTTGCAAACCCTTAATAATACCTCTTTATATAAAAAACAGCTTTCACTTTATTTTAATGCCTGGTTACAGTGACATGGTCTTTGATAAAAATATTTCCTCAAAAAAATCACCTATGTGATGTTAATTTTCTTAAAAATATCAGTAGGTTCTATTTTATCGCTATAAATTCTTTGAAGAATATAAAAAAGAATTAATGTCAAGTTTTTTTCACCTCATCAGCATCTTTCCAGACAGATTAAATATCAAAACTCATAAACAGTGTTAACAAATAAGGTATTGCAATAAAAATTTCTCTTATATCCATACAGAAGGAAATATCTGAAGCATACTCAAAAGACAATATAGCACTGAATAGCAACTATAAATATTAATATACCTTAACTAGCTTTCTTAATGCAATGAACGTAGAAGTGGTATTGTCTTTTTAAATGTCCTTACTTTTATTGCCTTCTAAGCATTTAAGCAGCATTTGTAAAAAGCTACAGCTTAAAAAAATATTCCACTCGCATCCCTTTTTAATCACTTTTATCCCACATTGACTTTACAGACTGCTATTTTGAACTTGGCCACATAATTTTGAAGAAGCTTCTAGAATTAAAGTATTTTGATAATGATACAAATGTGCATCTATTTTTACAGTTTACAGCTAAAGAACAATAACAACAACAAAAAAAGGGGGGAGTGGGGGCAGTTTTCTAGTTGCGGCATGATTACAATGTGTAATATAGTGATGTACAGCACTTAAACCCTCCTAGAACTGTCTTTCCAAGTAAATATGCATCACATGCTTATTTCAGACAATTAGTTAAATTTGATTCTGGGCCTTAGGCCACCAAGCATCAATAATTCAACCCAATGAATGGGTGATTCTGGTGAATGGGTTGATACATAGATTTTTGCAGTCTTTTCCATGTGCAGTGTCAATATGAGTCAGTTGCTTTAAGGGCCACTAGTTTCCCATCTCGAAGGCATTACTCCACGTGCAAGATAGTTCTTGGGCACTTTTCCAAAATCGATTAAATCAATAGTCATAGATTTTATTTCACTCTGCTTTTAGCATTTCTCTTATTTACACTAGTGCTGTGTCATCACAGCTTTCAAGCTAAAAATGTTTTACTTACTGTAACATTGGGTCACATTAATTTTTTTTTTTTTTTTTTTTTTTTTTTATAGCTCAAAGGGGCATTAGATCCAAAGGGCTATTAGTCTCAAAATAGCATTTTGTGCCATTTCACTTTCTGCTTTGATTCACTTTTCAAACTGTTGCCACCAAATATTATCACCATGTATTATATTTAAAAAAAACTAAATAACAACGTACCTGCATGTCTCTCATATTGTAAAAAAACAATGGTACCTAGAGCCATCAAATTTTTAATAATGTAGTCCTCCAACCAAACATGGACACTTAGAAGCCTGAATTTTGAATCTGTTATCTATTTCAAATTTTGTAAAACTTTAATGAATTTTTGATTAACAAACTCAACGATTTCAAAGCGAGCAATGGCAACACTGTATGGGAAAAAAACATTTTTACCTCCAGCACACAAGACTGTGTAATGAAAATTTCAAAGATATACTGCTTTTAAATATTTTGTGATATTGCTGTTGAATTGAATTTTATGTGGCTTAAATGTGAAGAACATGATATTTAATAAGGTAACACACAAAACATTAAAAAAACACCTTTTTGGGCATAATATAAGATCTGAAAGCTTTCAGATTTTTTAGTTTAATTAAATTGACCTGTAACATCGGGATAGAATCCACTAAAAAAACAATTTTACTTAAGTCATTTAGTGGTTCATTCGTTACTGGAAATTTACAAAAATTAATTTTTATTTCTTCTGTATGAATTTGTAAACTTTTGTAGAATAAAACAGCAATAAATAGCCAAATGTGATACATTAGTTACCTAAAATAATACTCAGTACAAAGAAATGTACGAAAATTAATAAATTGGTCTCTTTACCTTCTCCATTCCCATATTTTATTCATTTAATTATTTTATCATTTACAAAAAGTCCTTTCATAAGCATGGACTTTTGTAAATCTGACCCATGAGAAAATTTTAAAAAATGCAAAACTGACTTCAGTCTTACAAAATAATTTTTTTTCTTGAAATGCACTAGAAAATAAATTTCTTAAAATACAATAGCTATATGCTAAAAATAGATTTTGTTAATGATACTCATAGGCCAAAAGATTATATTTAGTGCTATTTGAATTAAGAATAAGTGATTTGTTATTCACACAAACCCAGAACCAGCACCAGGGCTTGTATGGCCGCATTGGGTAGTAGAATAAAGGGAATACAGAGGGAGGCAGAATTTTAGGACTCACAGAGACTATACCAGGCGTAAGATATATGCGCCGGCCCTCAATAAGCCTTAAGTATATTTATTTATTCAGGACTCAGATAAGCCTTAAATATGTGCATAAATATAATAAATAACAAAACTAATATAATTCAGGCTTAATTGTCTCAGTGCACAAGTTAAACTTTATGATGACAGCTGCGAATTTTAAAGGTTTTTGGATATCGCAAACCAAAGCTAAAATTTTCCAATTAACGGATTTTGCAAAGAAGTGTGGTTATAAATGAAAATGATATAAAAGAAGTGTTTCATTGTCATAACAATGCTCCTCAATCATCAGTCAATGGATGACGAAATCTGTTATATGGTTCTAGATACACAAAATAGTTCTACTGATAGAAGTTACTGAAAAAATTTTGATTGACAAGTTAGAAAATGTTTAATAAAGTAAACAATTAATATTATTATTATTATTTTTGGTAAATTTTGATACTCTTTAGATCATAAATGCTTCATTATTTCATAAATCACGATTTCATATTTTTAATTTTATAATTTCTTCATGCCATCTTTCTAGATTTAAACTAATGACCTAATAACTAGAAAAATCCCAAATTCGGAATCGGTGAAGTCCCGACGAATTCAGATCTCGGACTTTGTACTCTCTCTATATATGTATATAATAGCTGCATAAATATATATACACATGCACACTTACAGAAACAAAGCCTATTGACATGCAGGAATTAGCTAAATACAGTTAAACTCTACAGTCATTTGGGTACATTAAAAGAAACTATGATTTTCTACTTTACCAATTCTTCAAGAAATGACAAGCTTCCAATATCATCACTTAAAAAATGGAGTTTATTATACTGGGCATGAAGTATTTTCAGTGACTTCAGTTGAAACACACATTCTGGTATACATTCAAACTGGTTACGACTTTAAAAGAGTAAAAACAAATATATACCAAAAAAATACAAAAAAATGCCATAAAATACAGTATAAAAATAAGGTTAGAAATATCAAAATACTACAATGTTTATTCCATTCATTTAATAAATCACAACAGCAAGATCTTATTTAAATAATCTTAGTTTCACTTTTGAATTTTTTCTATAGCAATAAATGGAGGTTGACTCTTTTATGTTAACAAAAGTTGCCCCCACAGAATATTAAAATTAGAGTAAATAATGGTAACTTAAGAGTAGGAATGGGGTGAAATTTAATTTCTTTACAAAATTTGGTTATATATTTAAATGACAGTACACTAAGATATAAGCCTTAACATTTTTACAGTTTATGCCTCAATTACAGGATATTTTGAGTTTACTGTTGCAAAAATAAATTCATACAGTTATAAGTTTTGTAGCTATTTCTGAAGTGACCAATAAATTTGTTTTAATAAAAATATATCACTTGAAACTTCAACTGGATTGTAAGTGATAATTTAACTGATGAAAATTAAAAGATTGGTTATTCCACTTATATATAGCAATACATAAATTCTACTATAATACTGTGATTTCAGTAACAATTATTAAAAAATAATAATTTACACGTACACGCATGCAAACACACTTGTCATTATAATGTCATTTACTTATTTTAATGGTTTTAACATAATTTTCTACTTTCACGTTGTCTCCTTGTTTCATTTTTAATAAGTAAAATCTTTAAATATTGAACCTCAATAACTCATGGGGGGCCTCTTCTATTTTGTAAACTAAACTGGTGCTCTTATATGAAGGGATCAAGAATTTTAATTTCAAAAAAATTTTAACGACAACTTTTGATTTAACATATTTTAAGTGAAACTATCTTACACTGCTAAAAATAACTCCCAATAAATATGTCACTCATGTTATTATAAAGAATAATGATTAGCAATAAATATCTTTTAATCAATCAATAAATTGTACATCTTGGATGCACATATTGTTCTTTAAAATACAAGGTGTGGCTATTAATTTCCAGGACTCCTCCAATAACACCAGAACAGATGATATGAAAAACATAACCTTTTAATATGTTTCGAAGTAATCCCCATCTGCCATAACACACTTCTGTGCTTAGCTGTATTAGTTATGGAAACAACGGGGACCATGTCAGGAGGGTTACAGCCGAAAACATCGTGGCAAAAACATAGCGGATGAAAACGTTGCAGAGAAAACAATGCAAGGCGAAAACGTCGTGACACAAAACATCGTGGGAGAAAACATCACAGTTCTAAAACATCGCGAGACAAAATATCGTCATCCAAAATAAGCGGCTCAAAAATTTCGCAGTTTAAAAACGTCGTCGTCGAAAATATTGTGGTAAAAAAAAGTATCTACAAATCATCGCATGTCGATAACATCGCAGACATGCTTTTCTCAGGCTTTAATAATTGTAAATGGATATTTTCATAATGATTTGTGAGCGCGAGATGGAAAGAAGGATAATCGTTACTTTCATATTTTTTATTAACTAATAAATTTTTCTGAAAATGTAAGAAATAAATTTAAGCATAGAAAATTAAGGCAACTTATACCACTTAATAGAATTTTAAACTGACATAGTTAACTAACAAAGGTCATTAATAAATCATTTTTTATAAAGTTTTTACTGGTAATTTTTCATTAAAAGTATAATCTAAAAAAGTTTAGAAAAAGGAAGCTACGTAACTGCATGTCCTTATTTATAAAAAATTGCTAATTATGAGATTATTTTCTTTACTTTTGTCAATCTAATACTCTTATAATGAAAATTATTTCTTGTTCTGCTTCAGTTTATTCTTAAGTATTAAGTTTCCTTCTTACTTTTTTCAGCAAAAATTTATTAGTTAATAAGAAATATGAAAGTAAAAATTGTCTTTCTTTCCATCTTGCATTTACAAATCATTATGGGAATATCCATTTACAATTATTAAAGCCATAAAAAAGCAGGTCTGCGATGTTATCGTCCTGCGATGATTTGTCGATACTTTATTTTTTACCGCGATATTTTCGATGACGATATTTCGAAACTGCAAAGTTTTTGAACCGCTTTGTTTTAGGTGACAATAATTTGTACCACGATGATTTAGAACTGCGATGTTTTTGCCCGAGATGATTTTGCCGAGATGTCATTGGCAGACACCTGTCAGGAGAGTAGGAAAGAAGTCTGCGAGAACCAAGTCAGGAGAGTATGATCGAACTTTCCCAAACTCAAAACTGTGATCAAAGGAACATGCTTTGTGGATGTTGAAGACATCAAGAAGAACGTGACGTGACATTGAAGAGCCTTCCGAAAGAGGACTTTAAAAATTGTTTCCACAACTTACACAGTCGAGCACAAAAGTGTGTTATGGCAGATGGGGATTACTTCGAAACATATTAAAAGGTTACGTTTTTCACATCATCTGTTCTGGTTTTATTAGAGCAGTTCTGAAAATTAATAGCCACACCTTGTATATTATGCATATACTTAATTAAAGAAAAGCATCTGAAATTCATATTGTGTAAAATCACAATAAATGAAAAATAAAAACAGTTATTCCAGACTTGACTTTACATAAAAATACATTAACATCTTATTTCAGTTACCGAAAATGTTATGCAAAATTTAACAAAATAATAACAAAATACCTTAAATTTAATTTTGTGAGATTACGCAGCTCACTGATTGTATCAGGTAAATCTGATAGGCAGTTGTCGTGCAACTGAAAAAAATCATAATTAGTAAAATTGGCAGTAGTATTTTGTATGGATAAATTTTCATTATTAAAAGGATGCTAAACCTTATATTACACACACACACACACACACACATATATATATTGTATTTATTCAATTCTTTTGAAAAAATTTTGTTTGTACTTAGCAGCTTTAGTGCTAATTACCTGGTTTGTTTCTCTTTTCATTATAAATTTTAAATACAATTTTCAAATTCTAATAGTTTTGTTTTCATTTGGAACTAGCTCTCTAAATAATTTAGTTTAATTAATTTAAATAGTTTAATACAATAGTTCAATTTTAATTCATTTTAGTGAAATAATTAGCAATAGCATTTAAATTCCCAGTTTTTTAATGCTATCTGAATTTAAATGATATTGTAAACTAGTTCGAAAAAAAAACTAAATCTTTTATATGTTTGCACATATTTTAACTTTAAATTAGCTTTTTTTCGTATATACTTGTTTGTTAAAATATATATATTATATATATATATATATATATATTAAGAAATATCACACACACACATATTTTAGCAGTCGTGGTGAAGCTTGGCATCAAAGTTCGGGCATGGCTTTTTGCAGAGTGGTAAAGAGGATATCCAATGACAACACACAGAGGAATTTAACTTTTAATTGCACACATTTATTTAATTCAAATAGCAAATCAATTTCCTTTTTCGACAAAGTTCTTTAAATTACATATTCAATAATTTTACTAAGTATGTTTAAATTTTGACTTTCTGCACCATAACATTCTAACAAAGAAAGATGAGAAGCGTAGCAGCATAGGTCCTAACAGCATAGGGAAAGAGAAGCTTCTGTTGCAAAACGGTGCGTAAAATTTTTTCGTTATTTATAGTAGTGGTTACATAATAGGATAGCAAATTCTAGAAGGTAAAGATATAAAATATAAAAAATACAATGGCTTTGCTCTTCTTAAACAGTCCACAAAGAAGAAGGGTTTAACTTTATCTTGCATATTTTTATTTAGTACATTTTTGTTCAAACAGCAGAATGTATTTATCAATAGGAAAGCTACTTTTTGATCCATCAAAAATAGGAAATTGAAATTTTGCAGCGTCGACAGTGGCTCTTGCTTCTGTGTTAGTTGACATTGTCGTTTTGGATCTTGTATTCATACCAATTTTGAATATGAAATCAACACTAAAAAATTTTTCACATTACACCAAAATTAATTGCAATACACTTTGTTGAAGAATTTTCACTAATCAAAACACTTCACACTTGAAAAACGCATAATTTCGGAGCTGAGGAAAGACAATGAAGCACAGAAGAATTCTGTCTGCAGATGATTTGACACTCTATGCAATGTCCTTGACCCACTGTAGATGATGAAAAGTTAAACGCATTATGCAATGTCCTTACCCACTGTAGACAATGAAAAGTTAAACGCATTAAATTAATCCCACGGAGCTTTTTTCCGCACAGAAAACCCTGCCGAATAAATAAATAACTGTGATATTTTAGCAGTTGTGGTGAAGCTTGGCACCAAAGTTCAAGCATGGCTTTTTGCAGAGTGGTACAGAGGATATCCAATGACGACACACAGAGGAATTTCACTTTTAATTGCACATAATTATTTAATTCAAATAGCAGATCAATTTCCTTTTTTGACGAAGTTCTCCAAATTACATATTCAATAATGAGTTACTAAGTACGATTAAATTTTGACTTTTTGCGTCATAACATTCTAACAAAGAAAGATGAGAAGAGAAGCAGCATAGGTTCTAACAGCACAGGGAAAGAGAAGCTTCTGATGAAAATGGCGCTCATTCGTTATTTAAAGTAGCGCTTACGTAATAGGCTAGCAAATTCTAGAAGGTACTGGTCTAGGGGGAAGATACTAAATTGCAGAAAATTAATTGAATGTTGTGTGTTTGCGAAGAGCAAAGCCATCACATTTTTTATACTTTACATATATATATATATATATATATACAGTCAAAAGTCATTAATTCGGACACCCATAATCCGGAATGATCTATAATCCGGACCTCAAAGCTACAAACATTTTTAGCATGCGTCACGTTGACACATGTGCATAGGCGTTTACGCGTGCGCGTAAGACCTTTACGGCTGCGAATATGCGTGTGCGCATGCGCATAATACGTTTACGCGTGTGCTTTTAATGTATAACGGACGGTATAAGCTAAGCTAAAATTATCTAATTCAGTTAATGTTACAGATTGCGTTGTTCCTTAATCTTCGAATTGGATCCGGCTTATTATTTTTTGCAGACTGTTAGAGCAATTTTATAAAAGTAAGCTTGAACTTTCGATTATGTCAAATAGAATTTCCGATATATATTTACTAATATGTAAAGGATCTACAAAGCGAAAGTATGTTTCGAAGTCCATTAAACAGAAAGTGGAATTGCTGCAAAAAATGGATAAAGGCTTTTTCCTTTGATTATCTAATCAATCCGAAATATGTTGCTCTGCGGGGGGAGAGAAACAACGCGGCGCCAATGAATTGGAAGTTGATCTGTCAGCACCATCCTCATCTTCAGGGCAGATGATTTTATTTTATTTGGCTTATAATTCCTTACTAAATGTAGTATTTCATCTCGATGTACTCCATCTTTGATATGAATTAAATCAAGTTCGTCATTATAATTCGCTTCAGATAGTAAAGAAAGTGACGCAAAGGTTATTGAAAACGAAAAAATTTCGATTGACAAATTAGTCGGTATTCTCGACACAGCAATTATAGGACTTGAACAGCGAAACTTTGTAACTAAACAAGAAATTATGTCTGTTTAATAGAATTAAAGAGAAAGTATTATCACATGAAATGAAGCAACTTAAACAACTTACATTGAAAGAAATGTTTAATAAAGTAAACAAATAAATATTAAGCTTTTTCTTTTTGTAAATTTTGATACCCTTTAGATCATAATTGTTCTTTATTTCATAAATTACGGTTTCATATTTTTAATTTTATAATTTCTGCATGCCATCTTACCAGATTTAAACTCATGATCTATAATCCGGAAAAATCAATAATCCGGAATCGCTGAAGTCCCGACAAGTCCGGATTAACAACTTTTGACTGTATGTGTACAAGTGTGTAAGATAAAAAACATTTTAATCAAAATTATAACTTAAATTAGCACATTAATTCTTCTTTTTAATTTGGGTATCTCTCCACCATTCTAAAAATAATAATTGTTTATAATAACTTTTTCTGGACTGTGTCATTTCAAAATTAATTTGTGTTATGACATCTTACATAATGCATAGTAATGCAAGCTTGCTATAGCCAATCACTTCTTTGAGAACTAAAACTTTGTCTCTAAATGTATAGCCTCTTTTCTTTGCTCTTGGTAACAACAAACACCACTTGTTTCTCAGTCATCTGGATATGGGCTAAACTTTCAAAATTGTGGGCTGCATATTGCACCCAAAATGATCAGAATCAGATATTGCATCTAAAGAATTACTTTATCAAGAAATAAAAATTATGTGGCATTATTATGTGGCATATCTATGACTGTTTTCAAACATCATCCTTTTATCTATGCGGTATATAATATGTATATATTATATACTCCATATATACATATTACATACTGCAATATAGTATATCTCATAATAATATTTATATATATTATTATGATAAATAAAGTATAAAATTCACTGTTAAACTGCATAAAAATACAACACACATGTAACAGAACATAGCAAATCACATTATGAAAGTAAACTAAAAAAAAAAAATAGGTATACATTTGAAATACATATAAAAATACAGACTGTCTAAAGATATACAGATTAAAGCTTTTTTTTTTTTTTTTTTTTTTTTTAAATCATACAAATAGAGGGTAGAGTAGACTTTAAGGTACCCCTTGTATTATGGCAAAGTTGTTCTTTGATTTATCACCAAGTTGTTGCTTCATTTATGGTAGCCTGAGTAGTTGAATGTTATGGAAACCTTATTGTGACATAATCGGGTGCATGATTCTGGAAAATTTCGAATCATGGGATGTTTTGTAAGCGTTTTTGTGGTGTGTGCTGGTTTGATTCTTTAGACTGTAGAATGGCTGAATGTAGTACGATTAATTCGAATTTTGTGTACGATTTGGAGTGAAAGGGGAAAAGAGCTTTAATTGACAGGTGTGTAAATGAAGGTTTACTTAGTAGCCATTATAAGTGTCCTGTATGTAGGAAGGATATGCGTCTAGTCGAACGTAAAAACCGTTTAGATGGATTTGAATGGGCTTGTAGGAAGAAAGGTTTAGATGGTCACTATGTGAAGTGTTCGATCAGAAAGAATACCTGGTTTGAAAAAATGTCATTTGAGTATGATTGAGATTTTGATTTTTACGTGGCTATGGGTTACGAAGCGAGCTCGAAAATCATGGTAAGTGAATATTTGCTTTCGGTAGTGCTTAAATGTATAACATGTTCTTCTTTTTTATGTTATTTATTGTTTGGTTTAAAATTTATTTTACTGAGATTATGTATTTTTTGTTTGCCTATATTTTAGAATTTGGTGCTCCTTTGACTTTAAGTGAAAATGTGTACATGGACAAAGTAAAGGGAGTGTGCAATGCAAGTTTGTGCAATTCTGGGATTTTTTTAAAGTAAAAATAGGTCGATGTGTACATGGATAAAGTTAAAAGAGTGCACAATGCCATTTTTGTGCAATTTGGGGATTTTTTTTTTAAGTGAAACTAGGTCCACGTGTACATGGATAAAGTCAAAGGAGTGCGCAATTCCATTTTTGTGCAATTCGGGGATTTTTTTTTTTAAGTGAAAATAAGTGGATGTGTACATGGATACTGAGTTTGTGCAATTGTTTATCTTGTTATTTTGGCTTTGTGAAGTGGCGATGTTTGGCGCAAAAATCGCCGCTTCGCAATCCAAAATAACAAGTCAAAGAATTGCACAAAATCGGTATCCATGTACCGCCAAAAATCGCCAAGGGGCATCCTAAACTATACTTTTACCCAAATAGTTACACACGATAACATAACATGGAACTAAAAGCCATCTTAAAGTGCTTAAGCAGTACTGCAGCAAGTTACTTAAAACCTAATAAATAGCAATTAAATATTCAATAATGAAGTCGGCAGATGAATATTTAATATACTTAGCAGATCAGATGAAATGGGATAAAACATATATTACAATTTTGTAACTTCAACAAACTCACATATACATGACACCTTCATTAAATTTACAAAAAGTATTTCAGATATATGAAATATATCTTATCTTCCAGCATATGCCAAACAAATAAAATAAAAGCAACATCATATTTATAATACAAAATTTCTACTTTGAAAATTTTTTATTAACTAAATGAGCTAAAGTCTAGAAACATTATTTTCTATCTACTATTCCAATTTTCCAATAATTTTTAACATCAGCGTTTCTGCACAATTACTGAAACAAACTGAAGTTTTTATAAAATATGATAAATATTTAATCACTGATATTGAAATCATGTTATATAGCTCATATTATAAACATCATATAAAGAAGATTTCTGGAAGATTTGTAATTCTAACTTTACAACAGCAAGATATTGTATGCTATTTACTTAAGTGGCTACAAAAATATTATTCATTTATTTTACTTGCAAAGAAACTAGCATCTAAGTATATTTAATAAAATATATGACACAGTACATTAAACATTCATCAGTTTGAGTCATCTTAAATACTATTTTCTTGGTTTCTAATAAAATGCCATTTTAAGAAAATACTAAACTGAACTACCATACTGAAATTATCTAAATGATATCACTATTAATAATACAAAGAAATTAAAACATACATCGAGAATCTGAAGAGCAGGATAGTTTGAGATCTCAGGAGATATTGACTTCAAAGTATTAGAAGCTAAAACTAGTTTTGTGAGATCCACATACTCCCACCACCGTTCATCATCACTTGAATCCAAAGATAATGACAGAGATTTAGATTCTTCAGCTGTCAAACTATTAATATTCCACACAACATCAGGCACTAAAAAGTAAAATATCAATTTTAAAGAGATTATATTTACTCAATTTTCAATTAATAATAGCAATATGTTTACTTCAATAAATATGAAAATCACAATATTAACATGTTTGTTGTTTGACTTCTGAATTAACGTGTAACAGTTTAATACTTCTGAAAATTTTGAGCTTCATTTTAAATTAAGAAATTTATCCAATATACATGTTAAATTACACATATATACCTAGAATATAAAATTCACACTGAAAAGACTTATTTCTCAGAATCAGTTAAAATCTAAATTCAGAACTGATACTGAGGCTTAAGAAAAAATTCAGTGTATTTTGATGAAGACAGACACAAAATCACACTTCTTTAAAGACCTAAATATTCTGCTTATATGCCTGTATATGTACACATCCTTATGTGTAGTTTATACAATAGCTTTTTATTAGCCGTGCTTTAATTACATACAATCAAAAGAAACAGAAGACAAATTATGAAAATCCACTTGTTTTATGTGAGTGCAAGTGTGCAGATGAGTCTCATTAATTTATAATATATAATAATATAATCATTAATTTATAATAATATAATATAATCATTAATTTATAATATAAGTCTCATTAATTTATACATCATAATAAATAACAAGAAGGATCAACCAGCAGTATTTTGGTAGGTTAACAAATCCTTCCAAAAATCACAGCACAGCTATTTGAAGATTAGTTCAAGAAATGTTCCAAATCAGAACTAAATCAAAAATAGTGATTTACTTATAATGCTAAAAATAAAGCTTAGAGTAGATTTAAGGTTGCCCCTTGTATTATTGCGAAGTTGTTTCCTTTATGGTAACCTGAGTAGCAGAATGTTATGGAAACCCTATTATGACATAATTGGTTGTGAGATGAGTTTGAATGATGAGAAAAGATTTGTAAGGGCTTGTGGTGTGTGTTGATTAGGAAGTACGTTGCTGTTTTGTGATTTAGATTGTAAAATGGCCGAATGTCGTAAGATTAATTTGGAGTTTCTGTATGATTTGGAACGAAAGGGGAAAAGAACATTGATTGACTAATGTATAAATGAAGGTTTACTTAGTAGCCATTATAAGTTGGAAGGAAATGCGTATTATCAAACACCTTAGGATAATTTTTACTCTTTATCTTTGTGAATTTATGTTGCAACGCCAGTATACAGATTCTAGTTTCAGATAATTTTAGGAAGTTTTTGGATGCTGTTATAGAATTTTGTTTGACTGAAGGCAGAGAAATTTCTAAATAAGGTAAGTGGATATTTCCTTTATGTAGTGCTAAAATGAATTTCCTTTTTTATGTTGTTTGATTGTCTGATTTTAAATGTAGTTTACTGAGATTACATATTTTTTGTTGGCTGCTCCTTTGACTTTTTAAGTGAAAATAGATCGATTTATAGACATGGACAAAATCAAGGGAGTGCACAATGCCAAGTTTGTGCAATTCTCTGATTTTTTTTAAGTGAAAATAGGTCGATGTGTACAGGGATACCGAGTTTGTGCAATTCTTTGACTTGTTATTTTGGCTTTGTGTAGCAGCAATTTTTCGTGCAAAAATCGCCAATTTACGGCATAAATATATTTTTACTAAAGTAAATGAATGAACTAAAGGTTTGCTTATTGACTGATCAAATTCTAGGTCCAAATCCTTAAAATTAGATCAAACATTGAAGTTTTTTTGTTTTTGTTTTTTGTTATTTTTTTAATCAAATACTATCTTACCTCTGTAATCATAAGAACTAAGTGAAACTATATACTACATTAAAGCCTACTATGTGCACAAACTTTGAGAACCATATATTTAATATACATATATTACACATTTTTAGAATGTACTGTCTAATTCACTATTTATAAAAAGATGTAGATTTAAAATATTTGATTACTTCAAAATTTATATGCATTTATAAAAATTCTTCCCACTATATAAAAAACTCAGTTGAACTTACATTCTGCAATTCCCCGATTTGAAAGATTCAACATGCCACTTTTACGTGCTTGCTTAATTATCCGTGGATGCAAAGAAGATTCCTTCAACTGTCGAGAAAAGCAGGATTCAACATTTTCAACTACACCAGTCCTTTTACGATATTCTGCTAAACCTTTTGTTTTCAGCTGCTGTAATTTTGACGACATAATGATCTGCAAATAAGATTTGATTCAGATTTTTCTAGAAGACGTGCTCATAAAATTATTTAGATTGATGAAGGACAACTAGCAACACATATGATCTCTCTAATTTATATGGCCCATGATTGAAATTTTGTTGATTAATTAAGAAAGTTGGAAAGGGTAAAGTTACTCGTGACATAATAAAAAATTTGTATTATTCAACTGTTAACTTTTATTCAAATTTATGCATATTATTTGAATAAGGCCCGTAAAGTCTACAAATTAATTCTTATCTATTAAAGGTATATTTTATGCAGTAAAAAATAAACCATAATTAAGAACGAAAACATTGTATGCAGAAGCCGAAATATTCTTAACTGAAATCAAAAAACCGTTTTATTAAATTATTAGCGTGGTATAAAGCAGCGCAAATGGATCATCACATCTTGCAAGCAGAAAGCTAAAATGAAAATATTTTTTGTATATCTGCATGGTGTCAGACGGTAATGAACAAATATACCTCTCTCACTAGGAAACTAGATGCAAATTTTTAGATTTAATTTACTATAAACATTGCGTAATCAACTCTCAACGATTCAACCAACTTCAATCCACTTTTATGTATGTCAAATGTAAACAAAAACCGTAACATAGGAGCGAGTTTAACGAATACTGCCATATTACTTGTACTAAATTCTAAAGTCAAAATCAAAATTAAGTTTTCGACCGCGGGTTCTTTAACAATTATTTTTAAACACATTGACACATTCACTTAAACACAATTTACTGTCTAAACTATCACGAAAGCATATAGACATATACACAAAATGAAATTTTTGCTCTCCTAAACCTAGGAAATTAAAAAATAGACTGCCTGTGTAGAGATTAGCCGGATTAATGCTTCCTGTAAAACAAAGTGCGGGCATTCCATGAGTAAGATTATTTATTATACAGCTAATTTCAGATATATTACTAGAAAAGATGACGGTAACGTTTATTTATAAATGATGGTTTTGTATTTAGGCTTTTGTAAATATTTAGTTGGTTGTTTTGAAACGTAAGAGAAGACAATCTTGTGATGCAATGACGTAACATCGATTTATAAACTTCTTAGATTTGTATTTAACTATTAGCAATTATGAATTTAAATTCTTGCTCATTTAATTATTTAGCCCATTCAGTTATATTTCTCATAATTCGAAACTTTTATCATGTTATTCGATGAGGGGTAGGGCTATGGCGCCCAGGCACCCTGGTGGTTAAGCACCGCAGTTCGACATAATGATGGTTTGTCTAACCTAATTAGGAAAAATGTTTATGAACAATGTTTTTGGAAATTTAAATGTCAAAACGTTTTCAGCAAAAGTTCCAGCCGTTAACATTTTTGCAATTTCGATAAAACATTTGGCTATTTCTCATATCAGGAGGTGATGAACCTTCAATTTGTTGTGTAACATTGAATTACATGATTGTTAGCCACAAATTTTCTCTTTTGATTATGAAGTAAGCTATAATGTGTCTTTATAATTATCGTGAAATAAATATTTTGCCAAAGGTTGCTAACTTCGTACCAACAGTTAAAGATTAACACAGTATGCTATATTTGCCAAGTGATAAGAAGGGACGCGTCTTCGGGTTTATTTGATTCTTCATATATATTCTTTATATTTTGATACAATTTTTAATGGTGTACCATGTTTTAAAATAAATTTATTTAAAAGGGAATCTGCTACTATTTTGCCGGAAGCCCTTTTCAGGGGAGTTATTTCTACCCATTTGCTAAAATAATCCACAATTACAAGTAAGGAACCGTGTCACTTTTCAGATAAAGTCCTAAGAGATCGACTCAGAGCAATTCATTGGAGAAATTAGCCTTAATGCTACGTAGGTATCCAGCCAGTCGGTAATTAACATCATTAACTATTTGGTAGACATGACAGGACTTGACATACTCTTTAACAATTTCTTAAAATTTTGGAAAGAATATAGCCTCTTGTACACGTTTAACTGTTTTCGCAATACCGAGAAGTCCGAAAATCGGTGCATCGTGTAATTCTTGCAAGATGCTAAGTCTCAAACTCGTTGGGACGCTTGCTCCTTATTTTCATTAGAAACTTTTGAGAAAAATAAGACATTATCGATGATTTCATAATGGGCAGCTCTAGTTCTCATGGCTGTTAAATCTGGATGCTCAGAGTTATCTGGATCCTATAGATAAGCATAGATGTTTTTAAATTCTAGATCCGTTTTTAGTTCAGAGATATCTCGAGCGTTTAAGATTTTTGAAGTTAACATTGTGCATTTAATTTGATTCCTCTGTTCGTCTAATTTAACGCGAGAAAGAGAATCAGCGACAACATTTTCTTAACCAGATAAATGGTTCAGTACCAAATTACATACCTGCAGCTCCTTGCCCACCTTATCCATCGAGGTGTCAAGTTTTTATCGGAGTAAGCATGGTGCATGAAGAGCAGCATGGTCAATGCAGACTGTTACGGGCTGGTTCCCGAAATATACACGGAATTTTTGTACGGCCAGTAAGACAGCTAGTGTTTCACGTTCAGTAACTGTATAATTCCTCTGGGTAGGATTCAAAGTTTTACTGAAGAAGGCCACTGATTTCCCCGCTTGAGATAAGGCGGCTCCTACGGCAAAGTCTGATAAATCTGCAGTTATTTCAAGCTGACCTTCTGGTTCAGGAACCTTAGTACTGGTGCTGAAATTAAAGCTGCTTTTAACTGTTTAACCCATTGCCGGTTTTCACTTTGACGGCAAAAACAGACCAAAATGTCTCACAAAAGTTTCCACTTTTGTCCTCAAAACGGGCTTGCATCTAAGACTCAGGGTGTCTCAAAATGGTTTTGCCTAGAGCAAAAACATTTCTTCCCCCCCTATTCGTTTTCCGTCTGTTAAGCATTCAAGAAGAGAGAGTTGTAAAGGCCCGTCTACACGTACCGATTTTATCGGCCGACTTTCTCGCAGAGGAACAATTTTCAGGATGTGCGCATGCGCTAAAAATCTGTCATGTTCTCTGCGACGATTTCAGAGCTAGTGTTCACCGCTCACTAGCCGACGATAAAATCGGCGAGTCTAGCCAATTAGATTGCTTCCAGAGATCACGTGCTTTTCTCTCTCATTTTGGAAACATGGCGCTTTTTCGTTGGAGCGAAAATCAAATTTTTCAATTGATTGATTTTTATAGAGACCATGCTGTGTTGTGGGACACAAATAACATAAATTATAAAAATAAAAAGTTAAAGGATTCCCTTATTTTGGTAAGTTATCTTCCCGTTACTTTATCATCAAATATTTTTTTATTCGTGATGAAAATTATTTTATGTTGGTTAAACAAATTACAGCTCAATTTAATACAATATTGCTCAATTTTATTAGCTGATTAACTGATATAGCAATATGATTACAGTTTTCAGAACTGTATTAGTTATTAAACTATACCGATAGTATTTTTTAATATTCAGTATGATATGCTATTTTAAGATTTTGCATATTTATATTTCTTATTTGAAATTTTTGTATTGAAATTACACTATTCCTTTCTACTATAGTAATCTTTATTCTTTATTAGTACTTTTTACTCATATTGTTGCGGTTTTCATAACATTATTGTCTATTTATTTAATAGTAAAGGTTATCATTTAAAGCACAGTAGTTATTTACTTTTTCTGAAGCATGGTTATTTTAACATTTCAGGACTTAAGCACACAAATATGCGTTCCAGAAAATGAAATTTAAAAAAAAAAAATGGAGTAATCTGCGTACTCAATTTACAAAGGAGAAACATAAAGAGAAAAAAAAATTATACATCTGGTGCAAGCACTGCAATGCAGTACAAATCGGCATGGCAGTTTTACACATCGTTACAATTTTTAAGTGATGTCGTGTCCTTAAGGAATACTGTGACTTCTTTGGTAAGTGATTACTTTTTAAATTTATATAATTTGGCTTATAAAGTAAATAATTTCCCTTTACTATTTGAAAATTTATAGAATTGTTTTTAATATAGGCAAAACTTTAACAGTTTTTGTGATAAATAAAATAATATTGTTATACATACTTAGCTGTGTAAATTATATTAGCCAAATCTTCAAGCTCATGCAGCAGATGGGTCATCTGCAAAAGTTCACACTCACAGCAATTTCTATATAACTTCAGTACAAAAGTATTATTTTATTTATCCTTTTACAACTATGTGTGCTATTTAATTTCTTAAATGAAATCTTTATATTTAAAGACTATTCTTAAGCTCATTTACTTAAAAATAATCCCATTTCCCATTAAAGTATAGGTGCAATACCCATTAAAGTATAGGTAAAAGTGGATAGGACCAGGGCTTAATTTCTAAAATCAGAAGTGTCAGAGTTAGTAGAAGTTATATTTTGAATTTATATGAAGACCTAATCTTTTTTCCAATGAATGATATTCTATTGATAATTTCCAAAATAGCTGAGCAGTAAAACTGCTAAATAACTGGTAATTTGACCAGTGTTCGAATGCCAGCAAATAAGCTGACTGTAAGGTTGGTTTTTGTTTTTTCCTATGCAGAACATGGATACGAGCCATTTTTCCCTAAAAATTCTTCTATGAAGCATCCCTCTCTATAGGCAGATAGTCCTTGAATTGCGTTGTCTTAATCAATTAGTCTAACATCCAGAAAAGCATATGTAATTTATTTTGAAATGAGAGTTAAGGTACTTAAATTTCTCTTCGTAAGTCTATTTTGGTACTCATGTATTAACACAACCACCTTGTCACATATTTGGTGGTCTTTATAAATGTAAAGGTAAAAATTACTTACTGGTACAAGTTAGTGGTTTTTATGACTTTTTTTTTAAAAAAAACCATTCCCAAATATCTGATAGTAAGTCAGCAAAGTATTATCGACCTACCGAAAAAAGCCGAAAAAAAATCTAAATATGAATTTTAATTATTAAGTAAAAATTATATGATACATTAAAAAATAGGTTCTTACATGTTATCACAAGCACTTTAGTACAAGCTCTTTTAAATTTCCAGAATGTGCTAAAATCTGTCGACCATGAGCATAACAATACTTTAGGCAACCATGCTCATAAACATTCCTTCAGTCAAGCAACATTACCCTCATTCTTTTTCATTTATAAAAATTTGCCAAACTTGAGGTGGTTACGCTAATATGTTAAGTACTAAAAAATAAAACACTTATGAATTTGCAAAATACTTCTCTAACTTTTAGCGTTATTCTTTTCTCCATGTACACAGTGATCTGTTTTCACTTAAAAAACCAATAAATTGCATAAACTTGTACTGCACATCAACTGTTTACCAAACACATCTCATCGCTGTTTGCGTTAACGGTTTTGTGACAAAATACTATATTCTGCAGAATTTTTACTGCAGTTTCTTCCATTGCTGGCAGATTCCACAAGTGATATTTTAAAAGTAAGTTAAAGGTTCCCAACTCCCCAAAAAAAATTACGATGTCTGTCAAAATCATTAGAATTCCAAATACAACAAAAATAAACAATTGAAACATTGCTTGACTGAAGGATTTTTATGAACAAGGTTGCCTGTGAAATTTTTATGTGCAGAGTATGGCAATTTTTTATTAAGGTGGTTGAGATAATATGTGACTACCTCTAATTTTAAAATATTAATAGAGAAACATGAATTCTTATTGCATTTTAAGTAATTATTACTATCAAAATCTTACTCATATTGTTCAAGTTTTTACAAGTAAATGAAGTCCAACTCCGCTTCACATTGAAAAGTTATAAAAATATGGGATGTACATGCACAGATACTGTTCTTTTAAAAACACTCAAATTATTTCTTTTTACTGTAGTAATTATTAGCTTTGCTTTCTTCTCAGTTATATATATATATATATATATACCATTTTCAATGATAAACTTATATTCACAGCTAAATCAGACATAAGTTAGTCAATATTTTGTTACTTTTAACATACTTAAACATAAGCATTAACTTCTTATATATTTTCTTTTAAATATATGTATTGCATGTTTTTATTGATACCAAATACGCTACAACTTAGACAGCAGAATTACGAGGTTTTTTCGTATTCTTATTCAAGATATTTGACTATTCAACTTTGATATCTCTTGAAAAATCAAGCTTAGGAAATATATTCATTATCCTTATAAATATTTATTTCTGCATGTTTTCCCATAGCTTGTTAATTATGATTTGTTATATATGAATGAATGATAGCTGTAATAGTAAAAATTAAAGTGTTATTTTAATTTTCAGGATTTTAATGATACTAGTACACAAGAAAGAAGTGCAGAAGTTACCAGACATTCTGAGGAGATGTTTGACATCAACGATTTTGAAGACACTGAAGAGACACAGAGAGAACTATGTCATACACAAACACTACCACAGCTAAAAAGACACACATCAAACACTACAACTTCAAACAAAAAACAGAAACACGATCACATTTACACAGCAGCCACAACAACACTTGAAGAAATTTCTACAATATTAAAATCAAAAAACACTACTCCAAATACATTTACACAGTTCGGTTCCTTTGTTGGTTCCGAACTAAGTCTAATCCGTGACCCTCAACTCCTCACAGACACAAAATATAAAATATACCAAATTCTCACAGATGCACAGACAGAACAAAATGTATTAGATTCCATGAACAACACAGAATAAATAAGAAACTTAGATATATTTATTACTTACCACATTATTTTGTAACATAAATAAAAATAATTATAAATAATCTTTATTTCTTTATCTTTTATTATAACATATATTGAGAAATCAGGGAACATAAATTGAATAACATATATTGAGAAATTAATAATATTTTATATGTTTATCTTGCCATGCAACTTTTCCTTCATTATTTACATAATCACAAATTTTTTCTCGCATTAGCCTTGCTTCAGCAGACCCTGTGTTATAACCATTTTGTTTACACAGGGATTTCATCTTACTTAGCGATTCCTCATTTCGCCATGATCCAGGTATAAAATTAAAGTCCTCATCTTCATGATCGATTAGTTCTCTTGGTGTATACAATTGCCTGGACGGTCTTTCTCGTAGAAAGTTATGCAAACAGCAACATACAGAAACAATTTTATCAACTGTCGCAGGAGGCAGCTGTATTGGTTGCATCAAGATACGAAATCTATTTGATAATATCCCGAATGCATTTTCAACAACACGCCTTGCCCTGGACAGTCGATAATTGAAAATCCTTTGCTGAGGAGAGATATTTTTACCAGGATATGGCCTCATCAGATAACATTTCAAAGGAAACGCCTCATCTGCAACCATAAAATAATTCACAGGCTCACTACCTGGAATCAAAGGTGTTGGGCTGGGCAGATCAAGCAAGTTATTGTCTAGCATCGAAAATAAACTTGTTTGGGCAAAAAACTCCTCCGTCTGATATTCGTCCATTACATCCAACATCAATAAATGTAAATTTATAATCTGCATCAACTGATGCCATCAGCACAATGCTGTTGAAACTTTTATAATTGTAAAAAGTGCTGCCACCCCCTGCTGGTGCTTTTATCATAACGTGTTTTCCATCGATGGCACCAACACAGTGTGGCAGGTTCCACTTTTCAGCAAAAGCTTCTTCTATGGCTTGCCACTCCTGAGCAGTGTTTGGTGTCTACGAAATGAGAAAATAAGTATTAATTATGAAACTGAAAAAAGGATGCGAATACAAAATATAAATGCAGAAAATGCTATTTGAATATTGGCAAATAGTAAAATCAAATATTTTATCAACGAATATTAGCTACTCATTTGTTATAATAAAATTCACATCAGAGAAATAGATAAAAAAATGTGCTTATATATTTTGGTTGTGTTCCTATGTTTCACTTTTTATCTAATTTTTCCCCATTTTTTTCTCTCTTGTTTTTGATTAAGCTACACCATAGATTCTATTTAAAGTTTTTTAAAGTAATGAATGTGTCAGATACAATAAATGGAATTAAAGCTAAGTGACTGTGGGTAAATGAATGTTTTTGATCACAATACCCATACAGACAGAAAAACTGATAATTTTTGGAAAATAAATGATTAAAAAATAAGCTGTTGTTGTACAAACAATAATACAATAAACAAAAAGGGCTTATGCTTGTTTGTACACAGAAACAGAATTTTCATTTAAACAACATGTTTAAACATTTTATAACTGAATATATATGCTTCTTAATTTGAAGAAAACTCAAAACTAAAAGTGTCTATTGAAGAATTTTGGATGAACCCATAGGTGGTCAATTTAGCAGATTCATTATGTGTTTTATACAGGGTTGATACTAGGTTGTCAATTTGCTGTCCAATGCAATCTCTGCAGTTCCTACATTCTATTGCTAGATGCCTCCCTAATTATAAAACAATGTTTATTATGTTTATTATGATTTTTCCAAAATCAAATAATCATATCTCTTCTTATAAATTGAAAATTTTATTTAAATATACTGAAAAGCATAAACAACATTACGACAGACATTCCCATTGAAAATGGTTCATTCTAGAATTTGAGTCAAATTATAATCTAGAGCATGGACCAACAAACTGGTGCCTGCAAAACAATTTTAAAATTTTAAGAAGCTGACGAGATATTTTAATGTTGAGTGGGAAAAACAATTTCATTTATAACTTAAAATTATTTTCTTAAACTGTTGGTCGCGACCCCCATGGAGGTCGCCAAAACATTTTAGCAGTTTTTGATAATCCTTTAACTTATTCCAATAATTTTACAATTACCAAATATTTTTACACAATGTATCTGAAAATAGATAAAGATAAGGCAATACATAAAGTTCTCTTTCTAACTGAACAAAAATCTGATTTTGCGAATTTAATTCATAATAAGTTATGGCTACAAAAGCTGCGTTATTTGAGTGACATATTTGAAAAACTAAATGATCTAAATTTGTCGTTTCAAGAAAAAGGTTGCAACATAGTCATATTCAAATTAAAAATTGATGCTTTATTAAGAAAATGACCATATGGAAAACTATGATGGAAAAGGGTTTGTTAGAAATGTTTGTCGCAACAACTGAATTTTTAAATGAAAATGATGAAATAGATAATAAATCAAAAAGATGACTTGTTGAAAAAAATGATAAATGAACATCTTCGATGTCTTGAGAAAAACTTTAAGAAATATTTCCCTTCAAATTTTAGTGTCAAAGAACTAATATGGATTGTGAAACTATTTAGAATTAATGTGGAAAATATTACTCATTTGCCATTAAAATCACAAGAAGAACTTGCTGATTTATCAAATAATTCGGGATTGAAACTTTATCTTTAATACGAAGTCTTCAGAAGATTTTTTGGCTAGCAATTGCAAAAGATTTCCAACAATTTCTGAAACTGCCATAAACTTTTACCTTTTTCTGCAACATATTAGTGAGAGACATTTTCATCTCTAACCACCATAAAATCAAAAGTGTCAATCAAAAAAGTTTAAAAAGCCCTGATTTATTACATGGTAAAAAGTGCATGCTTATGCAACTGAAGTATAATGGTGAGTGTAAAATATAACTTGGAGAGACATTTCACCAGTACGGTTGTAAGGATCTTAAGTTTTACTAACGTTTATTTTTATTTTAAATCTTTACTATCACTTCTTATTTTCTACTTCCGGCCATAATTAAAAGCGTTAACTTATTTATGCAAAATTTGTCTGGCGAACGCCAAGTACTTAAGTTGTGGCTTTTTGCCAAGCGAGAGAGAGGAAGAAGTTAGTTGAAGCAGGCCGCTTACCTTAGCAGTTTTACTCAGTTGCTGGTTGCCTTCCAGGCCAGAGGTTTAATCCTCGTGATAATTTTTAAACGTATTGTAGTGTTAACAGTTCTCTGTACTACATACGGCTTCCTGTTAATATAAGGCCAATCTTCCACGTAGGCCTTGTTTATTATTTCAAAGTTAAGTTAGAGTTTAGTTAAATATTTTTATATTCTTACGTTTCAGACCACAAGTAGTTGGTCTCTGTATTCCGAAGTACGGAAATTATTGTAAAGAGAGAAAAATAAAGGGTTTTGTATACCCTTCCTGTGTATCCTGTCTACTTTCCACATTTATTGAACATAGCTTTAGTAAGCTCTCTGTTCCGAATCAGGTCCTTGCATGTTCCCGAAGAAAGTAAGCAGGAACATTGAACCTGATAGTGGCGCCCGACGAAGAAGAATAACCATGGCCGAGTTTCAAGAAGAACCTGTGCTGCCTGCAGAAGCGGCTCAGAATCCAGAAATGCCAGCTGCCGCCCTGGAAGGATTTGGTTACATCGTCCAGACCATGCGCGCTTCGATGAAACCAGAAGCAACATTTAATGGAAACTCACCGGTAACCAGTTTTTTGGAAAAATTGGATGACCACTTCATGCTCTACCCCGTGCACGAGTTTCAAAAGTTACCTTAGCTACCAGCGCTTTGAGGGGCCAAGCGCTTAACTGGTTCAAATGTATAGGCAGAAGTCTCTTGGGTCAAGCAGGAAGTCCCACCTATACTTACGAGAATTTCAAGACTGCCCTAGTAAAAGCCTTCCCTGTCGTAAGGGATCGTGCGAAATTAGAAACGGAACTTTTCAGCATATATCAGCAAAGAATCGAAAATCTCTCAAGCTTTATTTTAAGAAAAATTCACGTCTTCAAACTCTTGTATGGAAACCGTCCGGATCCTGAGATAATTCAAGTGATTTTGCCGAGGTTACTTCCCCAAGTGCAAGACTTTATTGAATTAAGAAATCCGACTACACTGGAAAAGTTATTTGAGCTAGCAATCCAGTTTGAAAGTAGAAGAACGGCGGACATTGAAAGAAGACGCCAATATCAACAACGAAACCAATTTGGTGCGCCAAGACTACAGACCACAGCAAAGTCAAGCACACGGCTACGGAAGCAAAGCGAATCAGTGGGCAAGGAAACCCGAGCATTCAAAAACAGCCGGCGAACGTCGACAGTTCAATAGCAATCCAGGAAAAAAGTCTCAAGGCCAGTGGAAAAAGAAGGAAAGCACGGAAATGAAAAATAATTTAAACTAAAACGGATTTCTGCTGACGGGAGGGTGCGGAAATCCGAAGGCCACGAAAACCCCTCTTCCTTCAAGTTAAATACAGTAATGGTGAAAAATTTGACTCTTCCGAAGATTGAAGTGTTGGTGAATAATATCCCAGCCACCGCACTCCTGGATACAGGCGCGCAGTGTTCCTGTGTGGCAGAAGATTTTTTTAGGAAGTATTTTCGTAAATATCGCATATATAATTCGGATAATACGACAGTGTTAGCTGCGCAAGGAGAAAGATGTAAGTGCATAGGTAAATTACCGCTATACGTCCGTATCAAGGACGAACAAGTAAAGGTTATGTTTTTCATAGTAAAGAATCTGCAAGCACATATTATCTTAGGAATAGATTTTCTTTCAGAGGCACAAGCAACGCTGGATTTTAATGAAGCGTCCCTTAAGCTGACGATGAAACCAGTTCGAGAAGAAAAGGCTGAACCGCCGATGTTAAACCTTGACCACCTGCCTAATGAAGAGCAACAAAAAATCCGACAAGTGGTAAGTGAATTTGCTTCGTTATTTAGTGATATTCCAGGATTTACTCAGGTTACTAACCATAGTATTGACACCGGAGATTCAATGCCAGTTCGCCACAAACCATACCGGTATGATAAGAATAAAGAAAAAAATTATAGAATGGCATATTAGACCGATATGTTACGTAAAAAGATCATAACGCCCATCTCAAGTAGTTATGCTAGCCCGGTGGTTTATGTAAGAAAAAATAATGACTATCCATTAACACATCCAAAAAGGTGGCGTTTTCGCGATTGACTACCGTAAATTAAACTCCATAACTAAATATCCGGTATATCCGTTACCTATTATTGAAGAAATTTCTAAGGAACATAACGTCTACCAAATACATGACGACTTTAGACTTAACGACTGGTTATTTTCAAATAGGGGTTAGGCCTGAAGGACGTGCCTAAGACTGCTTTTATAACCAAGTCTGGCACTTATGCATTTCCTGCGTATGCCGTTTGGCCTTTCAGGGGCACCGGCAACATTTCAGCGATGTATGGACATTGTGTTAAGGCCTGTTCTTGGAAAGTCCACATTTATCTATTTAGACGATATCATTATTACTAGTGATAATCTCGACCAACATGTACAGGATTTAAGACAGGTGTTTTCTTTATTAAATGAGGCCGGTCTAAAAGTTAATGTCGAAAAGTGCAAATTTGCAGCCCCTGAATTAAAATATTTAGGTTACAAAATATCTCAGAAAGGAATCGAGACAGACGAATCAAAAATAATCGCTGTACAAAAGTATCCGACTCCAAACACGGCGAAGAAGCTCTCTTCTTTTCTAGGACATTGTTCATATTATAGGTCCTTTATAAAAGATTTTGCAGCTGTTGCTGAACCATTGTTAAAATTAAAAAGGAAAAAGGGCAAGATTCTCGTGGACGGCCGAAGCCAATAGTGCGTTCGAAAAATTTAAGCAAGCATTAATGCAAGCCCCTGTGTTGAAATTTCCTGAAAAGGATGAGAATTTAGAAATTTCAGCGGATGCTTCCGATTATGCGGTAGGAGCGGTACTTTCGCAAAATCAGCAGCCCGTGGCATTTTTTAGCCGAACTTTAAATCAAACACAAAGAAACTATTCCGCGACCGAGAGAGAGGCACTTGCAGTTAGTTCTGTTAGCAGTGCAAAAGTTCCGAGTCTATTTTGGAAAGGCGCCAATAACAGTGTATTCTGATCATGCGGCGGGTAACTAGATTGTACTCAGGGAAAAATTTATCCCCAAGGTTAATAAGATGGGCACTCAAGCTTAAAGAATATAATCTGGTAATCAAGCATACCGTCGGAAAGGAAAATATCGTAGCAGATGCCCTATCCAGAATTAAAATAG